TCGTGTCCCTGGGATTTCGCTTTTGCAAGAGCTGACGTGGATGGTGAGCGCAGATACCTACAGTGTCCCAGACTTTTAGCAGGAGCGAGCCTCAGTTCAGGCTGACAGGAGCTGGCTTCTAAAGTACCATCCAGAGACTAGCAGGAGGCCTCTGGAGCAAACAGCCTTGCAGGTCAGTGGGTATCATGACTAAGAAAAAAGCAAAACTTGAATATTTCAGAATTACAAACCTAAAAAGAATCACGATAAAGGAAGTGAGACTTAGTCCAGAAAGAAAAAAACAAAACCACCAAGAGGCAACATTGCTAAGAATCATCATAAATATATAGAAGATGATTTCATAGGAGGAACAAGAGAGACCTGCTATTTTACATGGTAAAAAGAAGGGGAAGGATGGGAGCTGGTCCTAAACAGGGGCATCTTTTCTTCTTCTTCATGTTTTGAAGAAATGTATATTCAGGACATCTTCTGTACTGTTCAGTTGTTGCATGTTCAATTCTACTGGCCCCAGATGAGCATACACTGACTAGAAGAATCCAGGAAGGCACCAGGTTCAGCAGCAAGAGGCTGCCCTCAAGGAGTCCCTGGTGGCACTGATGGAGCTGTTTCACTGGGTGCTTCTTGGGAATAAGATAACAAAGATGCATATGGACCCATGACGCAGGTGTTTGCGAGACATTTTCTACTTATCTATTCCTTTGTGTTCAAGTGCCGCCGAGGTGGAGAAAGCCCTGAGGCTGCTTCTGAGAAGAACGTGTGTGATGACAGGGCGATGGGGAAGGAGCGCCACGTGGCTCTGTGGAGATGAATACTGTTACGAGTTTAAAACGAGTAAAAAATGGAGTGCACCCCTTGGAGCTCACGGTTTTTAAATCAGTGAATTCTTTATTTCTTTTATTGCTTCCTCCTGAATGCAGACATTCCAATTGTCTAGCACATAACATAGATTGAATCGTGAAATAAGTTTCTGCCAGCCTGAGTCTGCTAAGAGCGGTCACAAGTTCCAAATGACTTTTCAAGTCTTAAACAACTACCCAGACATGAAAAATTGGTCTTTTTCTCCCAGGAGTTCCCGAATGGTAGCCTGCTCCCAGCTCTGATCTTGACAGACTATTATAACGTACAGACTTTTCAGTTTAGGAGAACTTGCCGGGAGCAAAACAAATAAATAAATAAAGCCAGATAAATTGCTTTTGCTAAATTTGGGCTTCCCTGAAGGCTAATCCGTTTTCAAATTAACACTTACCCAAAATGACTAACTTGAAAACGTGTGCCCACGGGGGCCTTGGGAGCAGCTGTAATGTGGGACCCACTCTGGATGCCTGGTGTTCACTCCAGACAGGGTCAAAACTCCCCACCTTTCACCAGACACATTTTATCGCCCTGTTTTCCTACTGCTGGTGGTATCAGACCCACTTTCAAGTCATGTTATTAACCTTTAGCTCCTCTCCGAGAGGGCTGTGAGAATCGAGTGTTAGTTGGATAACGTCTGCAAGATTACCAAGCGCAGCTATGTGAAAACAGATTCATACTTAAAATTCCTATGTATGCATAATAAATGTTAGAACACCACTGAGCTAAAATTAATGAGTCTGTATTTAAACCCTGGCAGCATTTAAAATTACCTGCCTGATGACAATCTCAGTTAATCACATTAGAAGTATCTGATTCCTTCTCCTTAATTGCCACTTGTAATCCGATGGGGTGGGGGGAAAGGTCTAGAAATTTCAAGGTAACAGGTTACCTAGTGGCTCATGTCTACCTGGTACTTAAAATAATATTCCCGTCCCTGAGCCAGTCATGAGTAATATGTGTGAGAGGTACTTCGGTGTAGAGAGTCGTTCTGTCCCCAGGGGCTAGATGAAAATGTCATCACAGTTCACAGTGGCAGAAAGGATGGCAGCAACATGTGGGTGGCACTGGTATGTGCCTGTGACTCAGGTACCTGGACGCTAGCTTATTCTTCCAAGTGGCCCCACCTGGTCACAGTTCTATAACTTCCAAGGGCCAGAAAGGTCATCTCCCCTTACATAAGGCTCTAGACTTTTGTCTTAATTTTTCTCTACTCCTGTTCATTTTTTCATACCTGTTCTTATTTGATTATCTCCATCTACTTGAATGTGAGCTTCTTGAGAAGAATCATTTTTGTATGATGTGTTCACAGCTACATCCCAGGGCCTGGCATATACTGGGCTTTCAGTAAATATTTGCTGAATGAATAAATTAAAATATTTTCACCTAGACATTTGCACAGGTGAATTTGCTGGTTCCTCTGAGGAACAATTCAGAATCCATGTGGATGCCTGATATGTATCTGTACTATTCTCCTTTACATCTTAGACTTAACTTTTCCGGGCTGAAGGCACATGGGTAACCTCCTCGGAGGTCGGGAGAGCCAACCCCAGTTTCCACACTGATAGGAACCAGGGCTTAGGAAGGACAAAACTGTGCTTCAAAAAACAAAATAAAATGAAGGTGGCTCTTCTGGAGGATGACTACAAATTGGTTGAAGATGAAAAAAAATCAATTACTAACATCAAATGAGTTCTGTTTGTTAACTGGTTTGTTGATTGCTTTTGTCAGAACCTGCGCTCCCTTTTGATGTAAATTGTGAGAACAGATGCTGGCTCGGATCCTGGAGTAATTGACGAGAAGTGCTGTCATCCGCGGCCCATGGCCACGCCCATCACTCCGCACCAGCTGACGCGGAGACTGGGCGTGTCCCCACCGTACAGGGCTCAGGGCAACAACGCTGCAATGGGTCAGTCACCAGGACCCTGTTCTCAGAGACAAAGTAACGTCATCCCGTAGGGAGCGCAATCTCCCCCTCTGCCTTCGGGCCAGGGGATGATGTACAACTGGGGTTTTCGCTGGTTTGCTGACAACATGCGCTTGGGCTGAAGAACTGTGAGAAATAAATTTCTGCTGTTTCTACGGATCACCTGATCTGTGCTATCCTATTGCAGAAACACAAGACAAACGCAGGCAGGCACAGACCCTGCGGACAACGCCTTTTCTTTACTTTTGGAAAGATGACTGAGGTAATATTAGTCAACAGCTTTTGATGTTTTCTCCTGCAGAAACACCTGTGGGACCCCAGCATTTCCTGCTGAACTGCAGGCTCCTGTATTTCCAAACAGTCTCCGCGTATATTTGACATGGCTTCTATTGCCTGCGGTTCAATCTGCGCCCGAACACCCTGGCTGAACCTGGGGCTCCTCAGTACTTTGTGTTTCCCATGCATCAATTTACGTGGATGCCTTGATTTCTAAATCAAAAGGAGCACAATTGAATTTCAAACTGACATTAACAAGGAATTGCTGGGCGTCGCACCCTTGATGAAGCGTAGTACACAGTACCTCGTCTGACTCCCTGAAATAGAATCACTGGGAGAAAAGGAAATTAACCCTCACTGTTGTGTACTCAGGTCTCATTTTGCTGGCTTTGGCGTCCCATTTCCTTGGTAATGGTTGCGCTTAGACCATTTCACCCCGCAGCTGTTCATGCCTTTTCCCTGTCGCTGTGTTGTTGATGCCTGCTGTCCACCTCTCCTCCTCCAGAAGCTGGGCCTGCCTGGACGCCTACAGGTACCCAGGAAGTCCCTGGGCCTCCCAAGTGGGCCACTCACCAGGCCAGCAGGGGTGTGTTTTTATTGATCACTGGATTCAAAATCCATCACCCTCCTGCAAGGAATATATATGTGGTGCAAAGACTGAGGCGGATAATTTCCTAAGAAATCATATTGCTGATCACCAGTACGCCAAATGGTGCAGTCAGCAAACTGACTCATGCACGCATCAGTGTGAGCTGAGCAATTCGTGTTTTCCTCTTACCAAAGAGCCTAACTCTCTCCTCTTCTACTGCAGCAAGAAAGTACAGGGCAGAGAGGGATCGAAACATGGGCAGGACATCACTGGAATATATGTTGGAGGGAGATTTCTCCTGAATATGTTATTCTCTAATAAATTTATTCATAGGAAAATATATTTATGATTCTGAATATTCAAGAATTCATTAAGACATATATTCCTCATGAATACATTTATAAGTTTTGAAGAGGAATACATTTATAAGAGAATATATTCATGAAGCACATATTCTCAAAGAGTAAGAATATCTTCACAGGAACACTTCACATTCAGAATAACATTCTCCAGCCTCAGGAGCTGCAGTGACAAATTGAATATTCCTTAAAATAACATGAAGCAGAACCTGAATAAGTAAATGTGGAGAGCCTGCCTCTGTGGTTCTGTTAAGAAACACCTCTAGATCCTGAAGTCTGCCACGCCCAGGATGCAGGACGGAGATTCTGTAGACAAAGATGACCCAGCCCTCAAGCTCTGGCATGTTCGGAAGCCAGCACCACTCCACAAGCGAAGGCACCCCGGCTTGGGCTCTTGTGTGATTAAGCAGTCAGTTTCCTGGATCTTTTTTTTAATACACAAGTTATAGAAAGTCAGGATGTGTAATCGCAAGGGAGAAAGGAGGTGTTCGGAGAGTGGCAGGCTTTTTGCTTCATGTCCTAGGGCTGTTGGAAATGAGAGAGAAATTTAATTTGCAAAAGTTATTTGACATTGCAGACATTCAGCAACGACAGTCCCCAAAGTCCCAAGCGCCCGCAGGAGTGCGGATCTAACTTCTAGCCCCATGATATGTACTCATGCGTTGTACTCACGGCTTGGCAGGACGGCTCTTTCTAAGAAGCTAGACGCTGGGATTTCTGGAAGCCTGGCTGGCACATCTTTGCTTGACGAAACTCGTATTCCAGGCGGGAGTCAGGAAGGAGGCAGAGGCCAGTGTCCTTCACGCTACTGGCATGGTTTCTGGATGCTGCTTGAGCCAGCCGTGTGTGTGTGTGTGTGTGTGTGTGTGTGTGTGTGTGTGTGTGTGCACGTGTGTGCACCCGCCTGTGCATGTGCATGTTTGTGTGAGCATGTTTGTGTGAATGTGTGTGTGTGTGTGTGTGTGTGTGTGTGTGTGTTGGGGTCCTCCTGGCCGAGTGAAGAGTTTCAACTCCTAACACTTCAAATCTTTCTGGAGAGCAAGAGGAGCAGGGGAACTGGCTGGAGTAGAAGCCAGACGAGGACAGAGCTGAGCCCGGACAGTCAGGCCCCTTGAAGCGACTCAGAGCACCAGCACCTTGTGTCACGTCGCTTGCATTTACATGCGTGCGTGTATCCTCCAAGTCAAATTTTAAGACCCTGGGGTAGGTGTCATTTTCTCCTCTGACAAAGAGTCCCACCTGATGAGGAGACACCTCACTGTGTGCTGACCAGTGTCAGACAGTGTCGAGTGCAGACAGTGAGGGAAGAACGTGGCAGACCCAGGGTCTGTCCCCACCAATCTCCTGAACTAGTGTGGAGACGAGGGACGAGCAGTAACAGTAGAGTGGAGGACAATAGACGGTGCTGGCCACTGTGGGGCCTGGAGGTAAGGTGTCAGGGGAGGCTGCCGAGGAAGTGTGGCTAGGACACCATGGGCAGAGGGACCAGTGTGTGCAAGGCTAAGGGGCAGCCGGGTAGGCTGAGTTTGGAGAAAAGGAGTTCAGCGAAGATTCCATCGTGGATCACAGTGTGTGACAGCGTAGAGAGAGAAGAAAGTGTAGCACACAGGATGTGGAGCCGGCGCTCCAGCACTGACTACACAGGAAGTTACACCACCGGGGCAGACAGAGTTGCTAAGTTTAAAGTTTTGTCTCCTGGAATAGCTGCTTCTTACAGCTTACTCGGGAAGGAGGGCTGAGCTCCCTTTGAAAGAGTGCAAGGCTGGGGCGCCTGGGGGACAGTATGGTGGTATCCAGCAGGTGTCCAGCAGGTGTCCAGCAGGTGAGACTTGGCTCTACCTATAGTGATCAACCTTCTTCCAAGAATTATAATCCCACCCAGTTTGCATGGTATCTTTCTTTCTGCTCTAGGCCCTATGGTTGAAATCACATGTACTAAGTATTTGAACCCCAAATCCCAGGCGCTCCACTGAGCCTATAAAATGAGCAACTCTGAAGTTTTTATTCATTAGAAAAACCTCTAATTTAATGTCTGTTAACTATTGACCCATTCCCTGAGGGAACATATCCCAAACAGTACAGTAGTCAAAAGTGCCAACTCTGCTGCTGACGCCGTGGGCACCTGTGCTCCTCCAGGGCTGAACAAAGAGGGCTCTGCCATGGGGCAGGCCCAGGTCGCAGTGACACGTTCACTTGGGTAGGGGCAGTGTGGGTTTTGTTTCCTCCAGTTATTATCATTTCAAATATATTTAAATTTTAACAGCAGGGGCAGGAATTTTAACTGCATGGGGCTGCCTACAAAAGGCAGAACAAAACAACACGTAAAACAGAAACAAGATTTACATCAACCAGTAATGCGTTCAAATTACATTTAGAGAGGGAGGTAAAGAAGCACGGTACATGCACCCGTCTTAGAGAAGACTGCGGTTTTCCTCAGCGCCCGAAATTTGGAGCCTCCAGGCACAATCAGCTTTCCTAAACCATTAACAACAACGGTTCTTAATGAAGCAGTGCGTGCAGTCAGGGCGGAGGCTCCTTTTTAGGGGTTCCCTCTTTCTCCCCAATCCAAAATGATGACTGGGTCTCCACTGCCATGAGGGCATCTGTAGCCGTTGCTAGGGTAGGAGTACCAGGGAGTGGAAGGAATGCCAGGGGCTTGGCTTTCCTGACTGTGGGATGAGGGCATCAGATAGAATCATTTACAAAACATGAATGAGAGCCCATAACAAATCAGAATCTTTCAAAACGAACAGATGCTGGGCTCCCTGCCTCGGGGGCCTCCTCTTCTCATGGTGTCACTGTCTGTCAAGGTGCACACAGGTCCCTGCTGTACCCGTTACACAATTCTGACTTCTCATTAGACAGCTTCCAGTCACGGCAGAGGGAAATCAGCCCTCCCGAAATCCCAGTGAGGATGGGTCTGGCCACCAGCCACTGCCGGTGTCAGGGCGGAACCTGAGGTCCCACCGCTGGTGGAGGGCTGTGGGGATGGTCCTAGCAGCTTTTAGAAATGCCAGCATCCATCTCCTGTCCCTCCTGGGAATGTTCCTTTACCGGGCTCCAGTGTACCTTGGGACTGTAGCCTGGAAACAGCTGATGGAATAAGGAGAATCCATGCCTCATGAAAACCTGTCCCTACTATTATTTCTTAGAGTCGTACGTTCCTGAGTAATGAACCCACACATCTCTGGTGAAATCTTGTCCAAAACGCCCCAGCTCATCGCTTGAAGATGCGCTGCGCCCAGACAGTAGCCCCAGGCCACGCTCAGCCCAGTCCTGGTGGAAACATGCACAGCATAGCGATGAGGACTGCCGTTCGCTGCTTTACCACTTGAAAGACTTATGTTTGCAAATGGAAAATGGCTTCTTTCCCAGCAAGGAAGAAGGCAGGTGGATGTGTGGGCTCTGGTCTCTCGGCTGCCACACATCAGAGCAGGAAAGGCCCTCACCCAGAGATGACAGTGCCACACACCCCACAACAGTGCTGCGTCTGAGTCCCTGGCACTGGTCACTGGGTGAAACCCTCTGCCTTCACAAAGCACAGACGCTGCAGAGGGTCCAGACTAAATATGATTAAGATTACGGAGTCACTAAAACCAAACCAATGGCACTGGTTCTACTCTGGAGTGCATGGGTCCTGGTGCCCATGCAAGGCAGGAGCCCATTATCCCCGGGCTTTCTGGCCTGAGGCAGCTTGCTCTTCAGCGAGGTCCTGGGAGCTCCTTAGCATCAGGATGGAATTGTAGATCTTCAGAGCTGGGCCCGGCTTGATCTTCATGACCCCGACGATGTCCATCTGGGTCAGAAGTAGGAAGGTTTTGCCATCGATCTGCTGCAATCAAATAAACAAATTCAAGTAAAGCCCATGGTCCGCAAAAGCCAGTTCACCCAGCTGGAGCCCCTGGGTGCTGGGTGACTCTGGGGAGCTGGCGGCAAGAGAATGAGGGGCCTTCTTTCTGCTCGGTGTCCTGACCCCATTGACCGACCTGTTCCCCTGGAAACAGAGAGAAGCCAAAGTAGAAACATGCTCAGAAACGTGCATTTACCACCTGCCAGTTGGGTTCTGCTAGGCTTTCATCATGCTGGCTTGAACAAACCTGTCTAAAGAGCTTTATGACTAGCATCATGAATCTTGAAGACTTTTTCTGGGAGGACAACGTGCAATGTGCACACTTAGTATTATTTGTAATGGTGAAATTCACCCCAGGCTTCCAATCATAGCAGAAGTAAAGAAATGGTGGTATTGCCACAGGATAGGGTGCCTGCCTCACTGTTACCAAATCCTTGTCTCAGTGAAACACCGAATGATTTGGGACATTTCACCAATTGTTGCATAGTAACATGAAATATGATGATAAAGGCCTCCGTTTGAATTTTTAAAATGAAATCTGCCTGCCCCCATGCATACATGTAGCTATTTAGAATAGTAAAGTCTGTATAGCTAGTACTAGTGGAAGTTATCTTTGGCTGGTGGGATGGTGATGGGTTTTGTTTTCTCCTTTTGACTTCCCTGTATTTTAAGATTTCCTTCTATAATAAAAAACGATGATAAACAGAAATACCTACAAAGTAAATGCTTCATTTATTGACTTTGAAAGATATTTTAAAATGGGTTCAGAATGATTCTCAGCTGGAGAGGGGCAAGTTCTGCGGCACTTCTGTCCCAAATGACCGTGACGGAAGTTTGGCTCATCTCCCTGGAGATATCACTGTGCCTCCTATACGGCAGATTAAGTCATCATACTGTGAACTTTGAATAGATTTATCCTATTATAATTAAATATTTTGGAACCTAAAACAAAACACATTTCAGTCTGAAGTGTGATAACTTTCCCAAGTTGCAGATGGCACTGTCCAGAGCACCCAGAGTGCTCCGAGCTGGACTCGCAGGCCACTCAAGGCCGTGCCCTGGTGTCACACCATTTATGGACAGTCTGGCTCAGATGACGCTACTGAGGGGCCAAGAAGACGGGAATAAAAACGTTTGCCCTGGCCCTGCCCTTCTGTAAGGTTGGTACTGTGGGCCTGACCCTCTTCAAAGGCAGCAGTATGAAAGTAGTTCATGTCTCTCTGCTGGTGATGATTCTAATGACAGAAAAAAGGTGTCTTGAGAGCCCCACAACCCAAAACTCAGCGAGTATTCTGTCCCAACTCTGTATGCTCTGCAAACTACATACTTTCAAGAAGCTCTGGCAGGGTTGTTTACTGGAAATTCTAGAGTGAGATGGAGCCCCTGGAATCAAATGGAGGTGGGCTGGAGGCTGGCTGCCCTTTGCCTGCCCTGTCCCGCCTTCCAGAGCCTGCCCTTCTCCACTGTGACTGCAGGATTTTGAAGATAAAGGCCACGACTGTAAGAAGCTCAGCACCCTGCCTGGCACGTGGCTGGGCTACAATTCATAGTCACTGTCGGGGGCATTTGCCTTATTAATCTGCAGCTGCTGGGGTCTTTTCTGCAGCCCCAGTAACTATGACTACTTATCCCAGGGAAAATGCAAATCCAGGGAAGTTCAGAACATTCTTAGCCAAGAAAGGCAGAGACCTCACCTGAGAACTCTGCAGCTTCTAAGTGTCCCTCCAAAGCAGGCTCAGGAAGGGATGGTAGAGGGGTCTCAGTCTCACTGAGTTCCCTCTGCTCCCTGGTGCTGTCCTGATGGAGGGCTCCCTTCCCCCATTTGACTTCGTACCTCAGAGCAGAGGCTCCGTGATGCCCACAGGGATCCATCAACTACTGTGCTCACATCCTCTCCCCACAAGTAGTACAGCATTGCGTGGTTGCCCTTGAGTCCACCCCAGCCCACACAGAGAGTCCCCCTTTTCCTGCCCCCCAAATGTTTTTGTTTATATTTAGCTAAATGAAGTGAAGTACTTCTGAGGCTGGGAGTATAGAAATGTGTCCGATTTTTACATTGCTTACCTCTTTCTTAAAGCTCTCGGCATGCCCTTCACAGCCTAGAAGAGAATGTACAAACTCAGCCACCTACGGAGCAAGATGAAAAGCCTAATTTAAATCCCGCACCTGAAATAATTTGGGGGTTGTAGTAACTCAACATGTGAGTAAAACATACTTCAGGTCCCTCCAACACTTGGGATTTAAATAGTAACTATCAAGTCACATTAGCATTTGTCAGCTTAGAAATTAGCCTCCTCCCAACATCTTCCTGTCCTCGTGTCACCAGGCTGATGCACAGAGGGCTTTGGTGACAGGTGGGACCAAATAACGACAGCCTCCATCTGTGTGCAGCTGCCTCTGGTGTCCTCCTGGCCACCTGGTGGGTTGGGGTGGGGCAGGGGCCATGACTGTGGGCAGTAGTCATCCCCAGGACTTCCAGGTCTCGAAGATCGTCCTCCTGGCTGCGGGCAGATTGATGGCTGGATCCTCAAGGTGCTGGGCAGACTGCAGGACCTCGAAAGGTCCATGCTGAGTTGGTATCCCACACAGATGACAATGGAGCTGAAGCCCAGGGGCTGGAGAACTCCCCCAACCCCAGGCTCAGCCAGGAGGCAGTGGTGGTAGTGCCAGGGCTCAGGCTTCCGGGCATTTCCCAACCCTGAGTCCTGGCATTTCTCTCTCTCCAACTCCACTCTACCCTCACCTTTCCCTTCCTTCCCCTCCCCAGGGTCTGGAATTTCTCTTGGAGAGAGAGAGAGCTCTACTTCCTTCCTGGCTGTGCGGGAAGCCGTGGGATGTTCCCAACACACACTTTTGGGAAGTGGCATGAACACTAGACATAAAAAAGTATGGATGCTGGACAAGCAGAAACCGTGCCAGGGTTCTGGCCATCTCGAGCAGGCCCCCAGTCTTGCAGCCACATGTGGTGCCATAGAAAACCGAATCTTGGGAGTGAGATCTGCAGAGGCCTAGCTTCTCAACCCTCTGATTCCTGTGTTGACTGAAGCGGGGTCCACGGGCCTGACCCCCTTTCCCTAGTTCATGGAGATATCTGGAGAGGGTCACAAAGCCCAGGGCCTTTCACCAACGTGTTCCATCTCAAAAGCACTAGGAACACTCACCCCTTTAGCACGGAAGACGGCTCCCTAAGACCTGGTGCAGTGGTGCTGCCTAGGTGGGAGGAGGCCAGGGTCAGTTTGCTGAGCTCACATGCTTCTTTTTTTAGGTCACAAGAGTGCATGGTTCTGGTGTCTGCAAGCAGCTTGACAAAGCTGGGGGAGGTCATGGTTCTACCCACAGAGACTGCAGCTGGAACAAGCAGTCAGTTACAGCAAGGTCTCTCACTCCTGCTTGGAGATGGTGGGCTGCAGCTGCAGGGAGGCTGTCCTGAGGGGCTGTGGGGAAACCAACAGTGATTGCCAGCTGCAGGATAGGGTGCACGGCACCCCACTCCTTGCTGTAATTACAGCCCTAAGTGCGAGTCTCCCTCCAGTGGTACCAAGGCCACGGGCTTTGGAACAGCTTTCTGTATGTCAAGTGGCAACTTGGGGAGGTGCATAAGGGGGAGGACCCTGAGGTGTCCCAGTACCAGCACAGTATTTCCCAGGGGACAGTTCTGGTGAGTGGGTAGGGAAGAGCTCCTAGGGGAGAAGGATTCCAGCAGTCGGTCCAGGAACAGGGGAGGTGCGGGCCCAAGGGTGCAGCAGCAGGGATCTACAGGCCAGGCTGAGAGCAGAGGGGAGCTAGGAGAGCCGGTGACAGTGTGGCCTCAGCCATGGTCTGCACTTGCAGCAGCTCCCAGGTGCTGGAGCTTCCAGGCCCACTGAGTTCCAGGCTCAGGCCATGGGCCCTGCTGTGGGTGCAGCTGGACTGGGTCCAAGCGCTGGTGTTTCTGTTCTGAGCTGCCCAGTGGATTCTGACGTGCACTGGGGGACATGCACAACACGGAGAGAACAGGGCGGGGACCGAGGACCACCGGGGGGCCTAGGCAGGGACTTTCCGGGACAGGGTGAGGGCGGGGTGGCATCAGCTGCTGTGCAGGGGCGACGGGGCCTGGATGCTTTGTGAGGCACTGAACCGAGATCCAAAGCAGGGAGAAGCTGCAGGGATTAAGTGCCCAGCGCTGGGGACCGCTGGGCACAGCTGAAAGAGACTCTGCCACTTCTGGGCACACACTCTGCTCTGGGGCTGTGTTTCTCCCCTCGGCACCACTGCCACCAAGTCCGAGGGATGGCACTGTGCTCCCCTGGGCACTGAGGGGATTTAGCAACAACCCTGGATGTCAGATGCCCAAACCAGCCAGGGCTTCTGGGGCGACTCCCAAAAAGGGGAGAGAACAACAGAAGTAGAAAAGGTGTCCGGGTTGCTCTGGCTCTGAGCAGCTGTGCTGGGGGAGCCCCACCGGAGCAGGGACAGTGGCCCCAGGTAGGGGAGCCGTCAGTTACAGACAGGGCCTCTCACACCTGGCTGGAGACACCGCTTCTCCTTGGGCAGAAGGGCTGCAGGGGCACCTCTGTTTGCATATGCTAAACTGTCCTTTCCTGGACAAACAGTCAAGCAAGGACTCCGTCCTCCACAGCACCGTGAGCTCAGAGACCTCCGTGTGCATCAGAGGTAAACTGTTTTTTAATGGGAATGAATAATGTGTTCAACAGCACCGAGTCAGCGAGACCGCCAAGCCGGGCCTCTGCTTACACCGCCACTGCCAACCTCGTGGGCGCCGTGGCTCCGTGGCTGCACCGCCGGTCCCCGAGTCCCTGCCCACTCCTACAGAGAGATTTCCATTCCCGCCAGTCTATCTTCCCAAAGTAACTAGCAAGATTCCATGGACTCGATCAAAATTCTCTGGCCAAGAAAACAGCTAAAGGCCTAGATCTATCAGTGGGTATCTGTCTCTCTGGAGAGTATATTGTATTCTGAATTTTGGTCGCCCACCCGTGTTACTGCAGAGAACCCTGGTAAAGTGGTGAGCTTCGTCTACCATAGGAGAAGAGGAAAGATTTCCTGCTCATTCTCCCCGTAAAACAGTTGTTCCCCTTCAGGTTTGTGGAAGGACATGGATAGCTGCTCACAAGGAGGGAATTCCATGACAGAGGAGAAGAATGGCCATTTATTAACCCAGCAGCAGCCACAGGATCGGTCGGCTTTCTCCAGTCCAACTAAAGGACGGACGAGGTGACAGCCTTAGCGATGGGGCCACCCCGAGGTAGGGGGCTGTAGTGTGGGGTGAGCCATGGCATGGCTGTGGGAGGAGCTCATGTGTAGCCTGTGGCACTGGCCATGCCTGTGAGACCACGGGGTGGCAGACACCCACCGTCCACATTCCCTGAACACAGTGTCCCAGGGCCAGATCCCGGTGTCCGTTTTGCAAGGATGCCGAGAGAGTTAAGTCAGGCATGAGACAGCCCTTTGGGAGGACTGAGAAGGATGACACAGCCTGGCCTCACTCGCACCTTCGCTTCACCCAGCGCACATCCCCCCCACGACCTACTTTCGGCTGCTCCCAGCTCAGCAGGGCTGTGCTTCAGCCCGGCTGCCGCGCTCTCAATCTTCCGAACGGCGCTGTTCCTCTAGCGGAGATGCGCGCTGATTGCACCAGCTAAACGTCCACTGGGGACCACGTTTCCAGCCGGAGTCGCATTTCTGAACAGCGGAGTTTATTTGCCCTTTTCGTGAGAGCCCAGTTGCAGGAGGTTGCAGTGGTTCGCCAGCAGTACCCTGGATTTTTCGCAACATTCCCTCCTGTGTAGGGACTGCTTTTAAAGTGACTGCCATCTTTTATAGCTAATGAACATTTAGGGAGCACTTGATTGAGGCTTGGGCAATTTATATAGGGCACTTTAAGAAGCATTTTAGAATAGAAAAGACAGAAGTACCCATATTTGTGCCAGTCATAACTAAGTCATACCTGTGCCGTGGTGAATGCATACACAACATCCCAGCCAACCCAAGTGTGCTTGCACAAGATACCTGGCAATTAGCTACTTGAAATTGACCTTATATTCATCCATTTACCCATTCATCCATCTACCCATCCACTCACCCATTCATCCATCCATCCACTCACCCACCTACCCATCCATCTATGTATCAGTCCACCCATCCACCCACCTGTCCATGCACCCACTCACCCATTCATCTATCTACCCATCCACCTACCCACCCATCTACCCATCCACCCACCCATCCATCCATGTATGAATCCACCCATCCACCCACCCATCCATGCACCCACTCACCCATTCATCTATCTACCCATCCACCTACCCACCCATCCATCCATGTATCCAGCCACCCACCCATCCATCCATCCACTCATAAATGCACTCATTCACTTAAACACTTGACACATTCTCTTTGCTTCAAAGCTGTAAAATCCCATAAGAAGATAACAATATTTTAGCCTCTCTCTCCAAAGCTTATCCTCTCTGCAGGATAGTCCCCTGGCCCTGAGTAAGAAACACCCTTATACCGCTAATAACCTGCCCGTGCTCAGACCTCCATCTCTAACAAAAGTTCCACTGCATAATAACCTTTATGACACCTCGCCTGCTGTCTTCTGTGCTTGCCTTTCATTTCCTACCACTCAATTGACTTCACAGCCTACCTGTGCTTTGAAAAAACGCTGCTGTGGAGAGAGTGCAGTCTCAAAGCCGTGGACTCCCAGCTTGAGCACTGTCACAGAGACACTGCACCAGCTCCGCTCTGCAGGTAGCGGGGTATAGCGCAGAGGTCTCCCTCCTGGCAGGGCAGGATGGCAGACAAAGGGACTGCTCTCTTTCTTCATCTTCTACTGGGGACACCCCAGGTGAGGTCTTCCTGAACGGCACCGAACACAGGACGCCCAGGGCCTTTTCACATCCCCTGTCCCTGGCTTCCTCAATCTTCCCAGGGCTAGCAGAGCCCTGAGAACCGCGTCCACCTGCTCAGAGCACAGCTGCCTTTCCACGCTGCCCTCTTCCTGGTGCCCAGGGCAGCCCACTTCACCCTGTGCTCTGGGTGGTGCCTAACGTTGCCCCTGGGGCGGCCACCCTTTGGAGTGAGTGACGCCTTGTCTTCAAAGGCACACAGAACGCCGCACAAATCCCCCATTTCCAGTCCACCAAAGCTCACTCTCTCCCAGGGGCCCATCCTGGTCTAGGAAAGACCTGGGTGCAGAGGCCTGTGGGCCTTTGCTCAGGTGCATGGGACTGGGAGAGGGAGAGGGAGCTATAGCCTGCACCGTGAGCACTGAGCAGGCTGTCACGGGCAGCCCAAGAGGTCACAGTTACAGACGCAGGTGGCAGCATCCATCCACACAGGGGCAGCGCTGCAAGGCCACGGTTCTGCAGCGGCTCAAACGCTCTGGGGCTCCCAGCAGTTACAGGCTCGCAGGGCTTGCACCTCTGCCACAGGGAGGGCAGGGCTCAGGGCCTGGTGGTGCCTCCCTCTCTCCTCTCAGGGTCCTGATAAGAGGTCCCCTGCTTCTTATATGACAACACCTTAGACGTGGACATGAACTCTGCCCTGCCTGTTCACAGGCGCACAGCTGGTGCAGGGCTCTTCCCTTCGCCAAGTCCCTGGCCTGAGCTGCACCTTCCTGTGGTGGGGACACCTGGCTCCAGCTGCTCCTCAGCACCCTCGCAGCCCACTTCTCCTTCCCCTTCCGGGTCCCTGGTCCTCAGGGGCGTCTCCAGACTCATGTCCCCACCCCTGCCTGTGCTCTTTACACCTCTGCCTTAGGTTCCAACCCCTGGAACCGCTTTCCGGGCACTGGTGTGACACACTGGGACCTATGGTGCTTGCGAGTCCCACCAAATGTCCGCAGGGTGTCCTAGCCTGGCCTGGGTGCTCTCCCCAGGGCCGCCTGTGACAGCACCTTCACTGCTCCCTTTATCTCTCAGGAGCCTCTCCTGCCTCCGGCTCTGGGATCTTCTCATCCTGACTGGATGCTAAACTGCAGCGCAGGGACTAGAAATGGAAGCGCGCCCAGCTGGTTCCACTTTCATCCCGTCTCACCCTTTTCCCCATGTTGGTGTGTCTGACTTTAAAGTCAGTCACCGCACTGCGGTGCCAGCCCAGGGCCCAAAATCCCACACAGAGGTGCTGGGGCCTCTGAGCCCCGCTCCCAGTCCTGTGCAGCCTTATCACCCTCTCTTCCCCCTGAGATGCCATCTTTCGCAAAGTGATGCTGTGCCCAGCGACCTACGGGGCACCAGCTGCCCACTGAGCCGACCACCTGGCCCAGGTGAGTTTTCCCCACACCCAGGTGTGGGCACGATCCTGACCGTGCGACCTCAACAACTCACTTAGTCTCTGGTCCCTCGGCGTCCCCATCTGTGGGAAGCGCAAACTAAGAGAGTGCCTGCCCACCCTTACATGACTCCGGTTGTGCACAGGCCTAGCAGACGGTGGCTGGCAGGAGAGGAGAGGCCCTGGCTCCTTCCCAGGTGACCATCTTTGAAGTCAGGATGGGTGGTGGGGGCCCCAGGAACGCTGCCAGCCCGCTCTGCCCCCGTGGGGAATGCACTGGGGCGCTGCAGGCTGCGGTGCGATGTCCTGGGGTAGGGGACAGAGCGGCCCCGCCTCCATCTCTGAGCAGCCTTGGCCCAGGGCTGGAGAGGAAGACCAAGGCCGCAAGGAGGTAAAGCAGTCCTATTGAGCACTCTAGGGACGTTCCTGACAGCGCAGTGCTGGCTTCTGCTTGAATCTTGTCCTTACGGTGACCTGTGGCCCCTTCATTGAACAAACATGTTATCTCAGTGGTTAACAGTGCCTCTATCACGGGACCTTCTGTCAAATCACGCAGCCTTTAAAAGAAAGTTGCTTTGAACAGGAAGTACCTCTATAGCATTACAGTGAGCAACGGTGCCTAAGGCATCCTTAGTGAAGGCCAAGGCTGCAAAGTAAGCTCACAGAAATGTCCGGTCACAGCGGCAGACGTGACACTGTGACCCCAACAGAGATCACGTAAAGGTTGACCCGCTCATTGTGTGGCTCTGGATGGAGACCTCAGCAACGGGAGACACAGACCCCTTGGGGCCTGGAAGGTCCTGGGGTGGACGCTGGCGCCTGAATTTCACGCACATCCGTGCTTGTGCCAGCACAGCTGGGTGTAGAACTGCACAGGGTAGGTGGCCATGGGGTGCGGGGTGGTGCTGGCCTGAGGCTGGGTAGAGGAGCCACAGAACCACATGGCCAAGCAACAGGGTTTCCCCTCCAAATTCTATTCCAATTTGGACTTCGGGCCTCCTACAGAGAAACCCAGCAGCCGGCAGCTCCCGTCCAGCCCCCCAGCTGCGCTCCCCTCACCTCTTCCACTGTCCCTCGGGCCACTCGGCTGGCCTGGACGTCAGCCCTGCCTGGAAGCAGCTCGCAGTGCTGCTCCCTGTCTAGGGGCAGGGTCCAGAGAGGGTGGGTGGCTGTGGAGGTCTTGAACTCTGACTGGGGGAGCGCCTGCTGTGTCCGCTCGGTGGAGTACTCTGACAAGAGCAGTGGGAGTGAGCGCGGCACCAGCCACGGCCTCTGAGCAAGGCAGGGAAGACACAGATGCCTCCAGCACCCTTGTCTCCGGTTCTCAAGCCACTGTGGGAGGAGTGCCTGAGCCTGGCCTGGCCTGTGGGTCCGCTGCAGAACTGTGGTCATGCACAGCAGAAGTCAGGAAGGTTCAGGAGACTGAGGCTACCTTGGCCAAGCCCAAACATCTCCGGGGGTGCTGCTTGGTGGGCAATGGAGGCTAGCATGTCTCTGTCCTGGCCCTTGTCTCCTTCCATCAGGAGGCAGAGGAACCAAAGGACCATGCAGAATGTGAATCCTAAGCAGACTGGCACCCTCAGCCATCTGGAATGCGTGTGTACATAGAGCACACTTCTTTCCAGGAGGCACATATCCATCTCCGCAGAAAGAGTGAGCACAGGTCCACAACCAGCTTCCAAAGTCCCCCGGTGATACCGGGTGAAATGTAGCACAGGGCCCCCATGGCAGTCTGGGTGACACTGGCTGCTGCTGTCAATCTGCCCCATGCTCACCGACCTCACCTGGGCAAGGCTATGCGGCTGCGAGGAGGCTAAGGGCTGCCTCGGTGAGGTGTGACTTCCCGGCCACAGGCAGCCACACACCCACCGCAGTTCCAAGCCCAGAGGACAGGGCTGTCTGCCTGTCCGAGACCCTCGGCACTGCACTCCTGCTCTGCTCCCTTCCAGAGTGGCTTTGCTCTTATGTTCCAGCCGGACATGGAAGCACTGATCTCTATTCCTTGACTATTTTGCTTTGAAGCTACAAATGCAGAGGGACTGAAACCATTAGAGGTTTCAGAGAAAACCGATGCCTTTTTGTTTTGTAAGATACTTTCAATATACATTAGCAAAATGAAACTGTTGGTATTTAAAGAAACTCTGAGAAGAAAGACCGATCACAAAAGGAAATGCTTTTTGCCTTCGGAAAGTCCACCTTCCCTAATAACGCACATGGCAGATGAAGCAGCGGTAGCTACCTACATAATTAAAGTCTATTGTGATGGTTTATGTTTTGCTAACAGAGTCTGCTAAGTTATTATGCAAATATTTCCACCTGAAATTAATTGGTTTTCCGTAGGTGAGGCTGACCTGCACGTTGCATGCTCAGGCACATACCTGTTAGGAATCAGACACGCTCTAAGCTGGGAGCAAGCTGCCCATCACGGCGCTGCTGGGCACGGTGCTGCTCTCCTACATCGGAGCAGACATCCACACATTTATCCCTGTTTGCCGTCCACACAGACAAAGAGACGGCAAAATTGCCAGCTTCTTCCCAATTCTTATGCTCCAGTTGCAACCAGCAGCACGTGCCCCTCTAATGACTGATTGTCCAATGCTGACCTTTTTAGTATGTAAATAGGTTATCTCTCCCCGTGCAGGTCGGCCAACTGTGTGTAAGGCTGCAGGTTCTGAAAGAAACTTCACATCTCCTTTGAGGAGCCAGGATGCTGGTGAATGTGAGTGTTCTCTAATGAAGTCGTCTGGTAAGACGGGGCTGTGTACAAAACAAGCCCTCAAAGTCTGGGCTGGAGGCACCTGGGATCCAGGCCAGGTTACACAAGCTCAGCAACCTCAGAGGGCTTCTCTAGGAGACCAGGAGATAAAGCCTCGTGGACTCTTAGAGATTAAGACCTGAGCCAAAGATGAGCTTTATTCTGGAGGAGAATTACTGCCTCGCACAATTGGTTGTTTTTGCTGAAGAAACATGGTCTAACAAACAAACAAACAAATATATGTATCTCAAACCCATTTCCTGGTTAATTAATCATGCAGAGTTTCCAAAATACATAGAACCCTGAAAAAACACAATGAATGAAACTGAATCCTGAAAGTGAAAATATATCACGTGATGGTGATCAGACTCATGGAGGCATAAAAATGTGTAAAAGAAACTGTTCACATCCAAGCAGGAAAGTTTTCAAGAGCTTCATTTGGGAAGGGAATTGTGTACTGAGGTCAAAACACCAGCAGCTGCAGAAGTGCACACGGGTCACCCAGCCCATTGCTGGTCCTCATCAGGCCGATTCCAGGCCCTGGAGCATGGCAGACAGAGACGCCCATTAGTTCAAGCAGCAGGGCGGCTCTTAGTGACCACAGAGGGAGGAAGCACTGGCTTCGTGCTGTGCCCTTCAGGCGGCTTGCTACTGCCAGTGGCTTTTGGACACAGCTTGTATTACATCAGTGTCTGAAGGGCAGTGGAATGTGGACTACCTGAAAGCTGACCCGAAACTGCCATAGGAGCCCATGGGAACGGGGAACAGTCCACAGGCTGCAGAGGTCCAGGGTTGGCACTGGGTATAAGGTTTTGTGTTCTGCAGCCTCGAGTTCAAGTTCGTGCTGAGCACAGATCACTGCTGTCAGTTGGACCACATCGAGAGCTGAACATGAGATGGGACGCTGAGTAGCTGAGGTTTTCTTTTTCTTTCTGCAGTCATCTCTCCTTTAGCCACGGTTTTACGCTCCACAATTTCACTTACCTACGTGTAACCAGGGTGTGCACACCATGGGATCCAGGTGTGGTGGCTGGTGGCACATGCCTCTATAATCCCAGCACTTCAGAAAGCTGAGGCAGGAGGATCACAAATTAAAGTTCCACCTGGGCAGCTTAGTGTGACTGTGTGTCAAAAAATGTAAAAAGTAAGTAAAAGGGGCGGGGATGCAGCTCACTGGTAGAGCGCCTGTGGGCCACAAAAAGCGCAATTTCTAATTTTTAAAGTGCGTGCTGTTCTGAGCAACATGATGATAGTGTCTTGTGCCATCCTGCCTGGGGTGTGCAGAACCCTTCGTCCAGTGTGTCTGCTCTGTATACACTGCCCACCCAGTAGCTACTCAGCTCTCTCAGTTATCAGATGACATTGTAGTGTCATAGCACTGTATCCAAGGTACCCTTATTTACTTAGCAAAGCCTCAAAACGCAAGAACAATGAGCCAAAGGAGACACCGGGGCACAACACATGGAAGGAGAGCTCAACCTTGGATACCTCGTGGCATTGGATACTGCGTGCAGAAAGGAAAAGATAAGTGCGAAGCAGGTTCTGTCCTGTGTGCAGATTCTGGCAAGAAAGATCATAGTTACAACGGTAGCTACTGCTCTAAACTCAGTACACAAACCCCTTGAGGCCAGGATTAATGTTTTTGTCTCATTTTTTGGAGACAGGGTCTTGCTATGTAGTGCATGCTGGCCTTGTACTCAATGTGTGGCCCAGGCAAGCCTTGAACTCATGGTAATCCTCCTGTCTCAACCTCCCCAGTGCTGGGATTACAGGTGTGGCACCATGTCTGGGTAGGATAAATGTTTTATAAAGGGAAATTGCACAACTATAAATTAATATAAGATTAACTTTCCAATAGTAAAAAAAGAGGGACTGAATTTTGTGGCTATTCACCGTGACTGTTTTGCCTTCATCTTGTTTTACCAGGTAGGTCTCCTGCCACAGCGGGTGCTCTTAGGGTGGGTCCTCAGGCCCCACTGAGCAAATGCCTGGATGAGCTTTCCTCGAGGGCAACGTGGGATGAGAAAGAAGAGCTGGGTCAACATCGATGGCTTAGTCTTGAGCCTGGTGCCCTCCATTCACAGTGGAGTAACTTTGAGTGAGACTCTGAACCCCTAAGCACTAAGGCTTTTCAGCTCTGAAGTGGGGCAGCAGTGTGACGCCTCACTGAGTCGCTGTGATTAGCGCAGTGCCTCACACGTGCTGGTACGTGGTGAGTTTCCAGCACGACAGCCCTCCTTCACTGCTGTACACTGCCGTGGCTCTCAAGGTTGCAGGGCAATGTGGGGCCCACAAATCTCCAAAGTCCACCTGGTCGGACGTCCCCAAAGCCTACGAGAGCTGAGATCCAGTGTGAGATTCAGGATCCTGAGGGCCATTTCAAATTCATGCCCACGTGGCCCTGGCATGGCCAAGCAGCAGTCACCAAAGTCCTTTGCAGGAGTCCAGGTGGACAGAAGTCAGAGTGGCATCCTGTGGCTGCTGCCCACAGGGTGGAACCCCAGCTCCCCCAGCCATCGTGAGTGACAGCCTCGTGGTGCTGCTAAAACACAGCGGGCCTGGCAGCCTGGAGGCTGCGTGACTCCATAGACTTTTAAAATTGGAGTGATTTGCATCATTCTAAATTCTGTGCATAAAATTAGGCTGTTGGGAATATTCACTTCAAATTTGCATACATTTTTATAAGAAGCGAATACACTGATTTTAACTTTTTCCCAAGCCCTGAAAGCCCACGCTGTAACGGATACTCATGACATAGCTGTTAATAATGGGAGAATGGATGCAGGGGACGAACGGAGGTGCGCACAGCCAGGGCTGGGTATTGCTGCTTCGGTCAGTGAGGGCTCAAGGATGGGAGAGCGGTCCCCGGAGATTGTCATGGAGCGAAAACCCGGATTGCCTGGTGTCTTACCGTGCCTCTGCTAAGTCTAACTACCATTGTCTGTGGCACTCAGGGACACGACACAGTGCGGGCCACAGCCTGGGATGGCCTGGGTGTGTAAGGATGCTCTGTAGTGTCTACACAATGACAAAGGCACCCATCGTCATGAGCCATGCACGGCTGTCCTGTCCTCGGCAAACTGAGAGGATCAGATCAGTCTTCAGGGACCCTGAGGTGACAAGGGCTGCAGGTGTGAGAGGGATGCTTACCAGGGAGAGTACAGGGAGGCCAGGGCGCACCTCCTCTATGAGGTCGGGGATCCTGGCTCTGTCTCCCACCAGGGTTCCAGGCCACTTCCCAACACACAGCCTCCCTGCCGCTGTGACTCCTCCCGGCTCCCAGGAAAGCCAGCCAGGGAAAGCTGCCTGCAGAAGGGGAGGCAGCCTGGTGTGGTGGCACATGCCTATTATCCCAGCACTCAGGAGGCTGAGGCAGGAGAATTGCTGTGAGTTCGAGATCAGTCTGGGCTACAAAGTGAGCTCAAGGCCAGCCTGAACTGCATAGTGAGACCCTGTCTCAAGAAGACAAAAAAAAAAAAAAGCGGAGGCAATAACGTTCCAGTTTGTCAGGATGTCCTCACACCGGAGAGTGGAAGGCAGGAGGGAGCTGCCGTGGCCTCTAAAGCAATAGCTAAAGCTGCCCCCACACTCAGGACCCCGAGCCCTGCCAGAAAACAAGAGGCTAACATGTGTCACCTCCATGATTTCCACTTGCAGAACTATTTGGTTGAAAGAATTTTGGCTACAATTTTTCTAGCACTGGGTATTTTTTTGGTGGTGGTGGGATTTAGGGCCTTAAAAATATAATGATGTGTTTAATGATTCCACCAAGTTGCTTACAGCTTGCGAGCACTCCCAAGTTTCTGTGACCCAAGTGTCCAGCTCTGTGGCCCCAGCAAGACACAGGAAGACATTCCTCCTTGGGCTGCTCCTGAAGCAGCGCTCCATCTCCAGGGACCCTGAGGTGACAGATGACACCTGGAGGAGACAGAAACCTCAGAAACAATTGGAGGCCCTGCCAGGCCCCCAGTCCTCCTGATCCAGCCGGCTGTGGGTGGGGAGGGACTCAGGGGCTGTGACTTTGCCCCAGCATCATCTGCTTCCTAATGCTTCAGATTGTTTAAAGCCATATTTTACATCTAAAGGATTTTAATTCATCTGAAAATAACAGGAAAGTAGGTCCCTGATGTCGTCTCTGCCCCCTCACTGGTCCTACTTACTTCTGCACTACCCCCACAACAGAAAAAAATCCTTTACAGAAATGTTCTTCAAAACTGCAGCAATTTCTTCACAAAAGCCTCAAAAATCAAAATGGAAATGAGTCCCAAGTGTTATTTTTCATGCACTGAAAATGCAGACCCACTCCATGAGAGACCTCTTCCGTGAGAGCAGGAGCAACTCCACCCTGTTCTCTGCTCCAGAAAAGAGGAAATAAGAGGCTCTGGCTCTGAAATTCAGGGATGTGGTTCCTCACTCACCGCATGACCGTGACAGTTGCCGACCCATTCCGTGGTCCCTTGCATGGGCTGAGGGGTCCCTCTGTCCCAGTGACACGGCTGCTGTGGTGACTGCCGCTGGGCAAGTTCAGAAACGTTCAGAAGTGGCTTCTGCTGGGGGTCGGTGCTGTCCTCCCTCAGCTGTGTTCACACCTGTGTGACCCACGTGCCTGGAGCCATCCTTTCGTTGTCACATGCCCCCTGGAGGTGGAGGCTTTGGAGCCCCCTCCAGCCCTCCTCTTTCTCATCTCTTTGTCATTTCTGTTCCCCCCAAACCAACTGCAAATCAGACCTAGGACTCCCAAGCTCCAGCTGCTTGCCTGGCACAGAGGTGAAGCTCAGTATCTGCCAGGTGGAAGATTGACTGACTTCATGCGTCAGGAAAGCAGGAACTTCTCAGATTCACTGCAACAATAAAGTGCAACAATCAAGTGTCTTTCAGAACTAGATTAGGAACCGTTCAGATTTAGAGCCACTTTCTCTGCGTGTCACCTATCACCCCCAAGCCCTATAGGAGTCTGTGCAATCTGGCTGCACTCCCTCCTGGAGTCGGTGATGGCAGGGAAGAAATTAGGGAGCTAGAGCTTTGGCAGCTTCCGGTCCCCACCGCCATCTTCCCAGCATCCTTCCCCAGCTGGGCTGTCGGCTCAGCTCCTCTGGGCTCACCCATCACTCTCCTTCACTCTGGGTCTCTCTCCTCAGGCCTGCTGCCTCCTCTGCATGGTGGCCTCTCCTCACCGCAGGCCAGAGCTCGCCTGCGCCATCTTTCCCACAGGAAATCGATCTCTGAGTGGCCTCTCCTCAGTTTACTCAGAAGTAAGGAACTGCACCCAGACCCTGGCCAGGGCCGAGTCCTCTGTTTTTCCCTGGCTATCTATCACTTTTCTTCGGTTCCTGAGGAAGTTGAGCTATCTTCACATCTTTTTCAGGATCAGCCACCATGCCTGGCAGGGGTGTGAGACATAGTCTTCCCAGTCTCTCTTGCCTGGCTGCCTCCGCAAGGCTCCTTCTAAGGGACTTACTGACCGCCACAGCTGAATCCTGCGAACCCCGTCACCCAGTCAGCTCTCCACTTCCTAGAGCAGGGAGCTGTGGCCAAGACTTAGGAGGGACTTGGCCATAGGGCAGTCTCCTTTCCTTCCTTTGATCCTATTTTAGCAAAAGGTCCTGATCACAGGAAATTGTCCTAGGGTTCTAGATCCAGAGGCCTGGTGTCCAGTCCACTCTTTGGCCTCATCCCTTGCTGCACCCCGGCAGGACAGTGAGGTGGTGACTCACACGCAGGTAAATAAAGGGCAGTCATTTCTGATCCATCCCCAAGCCCTGTGCGTGGCACAGAGCTGGCACATGGTGTCTCTGAGTACAGGTGCTTCATACCTGAAGAGACTATCGGGCCATCTGAGGAATTCTGCAGGAGAGACAAATAACACCGCGGCAAATGCTCTGTGGTCTGTGCCAGGAAAACAGTGTGTTTCCATCTTGCGTTCTCTCATTTGGCAGGGACGCTCACCACTGAAAAGGCTGGGGACTGTTTATTGCATGAAATCTGACTCACTCCCCCATTAGATATTTGAGAAGCAGATAGCCCTTGGTTTCATTTTTTAAAAATGCAGAGAAGTTCACGTTTGCTTTTGATATGTTAGTCAGCCAATAAAAGACTCCAGTGCTACATGTTTTCTGATTGCTGAAGGGTGACCTTTCAGTTTCATATCTGCTTCACACAGCTTGAGACATTATTAATTAGCTGTTTTGATTGAATGCTGCAATCCAACCACCCAGTGAGTATTTCTGTATCCTTTGCAAGACCAGCCTCCTCTGTTGTGAAGCTGAAGCTAGAACCGAATGAATGTATCTTCAACTTACTGGAGAACCAGAGACACAGGTCTTCTCTGAGTAGACACCTCCCTGCTGGGCTCCTGCCCACTCTGCCCCATACAGGCAGCAGAAGGAAGAACATGTGCCACGCGTCTGGCACTCTTATGTCTCATAAGTCTGCAAGGACTGCACTTTAAAGCTCTCTGAGCAAGAGACAAAAGACAGCACTGCAACATGGAGCGGTGGCTTCAGTGCACTCTACCCTTGGGGTGGATGGTAGTGCCTGATTAAAAGAAGCAGACAACTCTGGAAGTACAGGTTACCCCAAGTGCCCGGAGCCAAAAGTTGTTCAGATTTTTTCAGAATCTGGAGTGTCTGCATATGCATACTGAGATAACTCGGGCATTATTATGGTTTAGATCTAGATGTCCCCCAAGAGCCTCATGCACTCCTAGGCAGGGCTTTTGGAAGGTGACTTGGTCACAAGGCTCAGAGCTGACTTATTGTTAGTAGGTGGGGTTTGGTTGGAAGAGGTGGGTTACTGAGGGTGTGGCCTGGAAGGGTTCATCTCCCTCCCAGCCTCCTCCCTTCTCTCTCTGCTTCCTGCCCACCATGGCATGAGTAGTCCTCCTCCGCCAGGCCCCTCTGCCATGCTGTCCTACCCTGGAGCCAGCTGATCCTGGACTGAGAGTTGAGCCAAAATGAACTTCTCCCTTAGGCTGTGGGCTGAGGTATTGTGTCTCAGCAATGGGAAAGTGACTAACATGGATCCACATCTAAACACTGAATCCACTGATGTTTCATAGACACTTTCTCCACACAGCCCAAGGTGATTCTGTTTAATATTTTAGGTAACTCTGTGCATGTCAAGGTTTCCACTTGTGACATTATGTGGACACTCAGAAAGTTCCAGACTTTATGTCAATTTGGATTTGGGGTTTTTGGGTTGGGTGTTATCAACCTACAGGCTCTCTTAGTTCAGTGCAGGGGAGACACACCTGTGCCTGGCGATGCACACCAAAGACAATGCACACCAAAGCCACACAAGTCTCACCACCTGGCCCATCTCTCAGCCCCTGACAGATGGGCAGGAATGAAGGAAGGCAGGAGGCCATATTGCATCTGGTTTTGCAAACTCCACCCCCCAAGTAACACCTGCATACAAGTATCAAGCCTGTCCACTGACAACTGATGGGACAGGCATAAATTGTGGGGAGGGGACAGAAGGTGTCCCGCTGGAATGACAAGAACTCTGAAATTCTCACTGTGTCTATACCATGAGGATACCTCCTTTTCTCCTCCTTCTCTTCCTCCTTTGCTCTTCCTTCTCCTCCTCCTCCTCCTTCCTCAGCCTCCCAGAGTGCTGGGGTTACAAGTGTGCACCACCCCACCCACCCAGCTTCTGCTTCTGTTCTCCTTTTTCTGTTCAGAACCACCAGTGACCTGTTTGAGCAGGGGTCTACTATGCTCTTGTGGCTCAGAGACTCCCAAGGGAAAGATGTCTGAGGTCCCACATAACCTCAAGGCCTCATGCTGAAGCCTGGCTAGCTCAGGGCAGGGCACTGTTGCATTGTCCAGACCATGCAGCCAGAGCAAAAGGGACTGGAGCCAGGGGATGGAGTAGGTAGCTATGTGGCTGCAGACAGATACTCCCTGTGGGGCTTCTGCTGCTTCTTCTTCACTGCTTGTGAGCCTCTATCTCAAGGGCAGCAGCAGTGGTAACACTTGCTCCTAGAAAGATGCAGTGCCCATTGTTAAGAGGAAACTCTCTCCTTTGGCATCATGTGGCACCTGCGTCTCCAGACAGGTCCTTGCAAGGACTGTCACTTCTGTCTCAGACCAGTGTGCTCTGATGTTCCTGGGGACCCTGCTTGCAGCAGTGCAGAGCTGCAGATGACAGAGAGGACAGTGCTCTGCCTGCCTGGCAGGAGGTTAAATACAGGGGCCTCCCAGCCCAGGGCCCCCCAGGTGCCATGCTTGCTGCTCTGGGGACCAGGGGTCCCACTCACTCTTTCTGTCCATTTCTGGCAGCAGGCTCAGCGCAGATGCTCAGGCCAGCATGGTGCCAAGGGCTCTCCTCACAGAAGCACTGACGTTCACAGACAGGAGAGGAACCAGCTTGGGCCAGGGGCTCCCTGGGGCACAAGTGTCTCCTCCACATGTCCTGCATTCAAGGGCACGTGTTGTCACAGGCTCAGGTGCTTTGCCTGCCTGCAGAAGCTCTTGCCATCTGAAAGTAGCTCTCAGCACAGACACATCTAGCACAGAGCATGCCAGGTTCCCCTACATGAGTTAAAACTCAGCAGGTGAATATCACCTTGTGATACCTCCTCCTGCCCCTTCCCATGACTTATACCTGTCCTTCCACCTCCTCATGATTTATGCCTGTCCCGTCCCTTGTCAGCATGGGTTCAGCTGAATTGTGTGAACTTGATTAGCTCTGGCGTCCACCTGGGGGAACTGGTGGAGCACGTTGTTGGGTGTGCCTGGGTAGATCATAGAAGTGGGGCCTTGAAGTCTTGTTCCCTCACCACCTCCTCTCTGGAGCCATTCTCCTGCTCTGCTTTCCAGCCACCATGAACAGAGTGGTTTTGCTCTCCCATGGCCTTCCTCCATGACGTTTCTGGCTTGGATCCTGCTGACCGTGGATGGAACCCCCTGAAACTGTGAGCCAAATAAATCCCGCCTCCTGTCTGCTGTGTCTGGCGCTGTCCCGGCTTCTCGAAAGCTGACTGAAGCAGCTTCCTAACTTCTCTTCATTATTTCATGGCTGCAAACATGTTTTGCTTTTCATATTTCACTGTTGGGAAATTCAAAGAGAAAGTAATTTATGGGTTATTTCCCTCCTGTAGGAGTTGTACATGTTTCCAAAGCTTGCCCTGCTTTGTGGAGAAGCCAGACACAGCAGCACACAGGGTGGGCTTCTCCTCAAATGGCCCTTGTTCGGGTTGCTTTGCATTTTTCCCTGCTCATACGGAGACAGCAAGAGAGGCCAGGATCCCCGCAACTGCTACCCGGTAAGGCCCCTCCACACAGCAGTCTCCACCCCTTCTCTGCTCCTTGGTTTCTCAGCAGCCTGCCTTGGTTGCTTGCCAGGTTTCCCTTTGTGCACACGGATCCAACTGTGAGGCCCTACATGTGTTGCCCTGAGCCGTCCTCCCATCTCCTATCCCTTTGCTGTCCTCTGGGCTTCTTGGCCTGGTCTCACCTTCTGCTAATTAAAAAGGGCACCATGGGCTATGAAGATTAGAAAATTTGGAGAGGTGTGGTGGCCCGTGTCTATAATCCCAGCATTGTCAGAGGCTGAGGCAAAAGGATTTCGAGCTCTAGCCCAGCCTGGACAGCTAAGTAACTTAGCGCCTACCTGAACAAATTTTATAAAACAGTAGGGGCTTGGGACATCACTCAGTTCTAAGGCCCTAGCTTCAGTTTCCAGTAACACACACACACACACACACACACACACACACACACAGATTAGAAATTTACGAATAGAGCGGAAAATAAAATTAAGGCTAGTTTTCATCCTCTTTTAGGAAAAGAAGAACTAGTGCTGTCTTTTACAGACTGTAGTCTTCAGAAATTTTAGAATTATTTTTAAAAAACATTAAATTATACCACTTTTTTTTTTTTTGGTTTTTCTCCGGTACCGGGAACCGAACTCACGACCTTGCGCTTGCCAGGCAGGCGCTTTTGCCGCTGAGCTAAATCCCCAGCCCCAAATTATACCACTTTTAAAGAAAACCAACTTGCCCTGGAGCTGGATGAAATATGCAGAAGGCTTCAGACTCTTCCTTCCCTGGTTCAGGTCTTGCAGAAACTCAGTTCCAAGCCATGCAGAAGCTGTTCTTTCTTAAAACAAATGCCGCCCAATGCCAATATGCAGAAGATATATTTGACCTCTAATTTATCAGTGTGTAAGGGAACTGGATGTTTTTAATGTTCTCACTGTGTGTGTGTGTGTGTGCACATGTGTGTGTGTTGGATAAAAGAAAATAAAATCCCCCAAATAGTCTAAATATTTAAATGGTGAGAAGAAGTACCTGGCACAAGGAGAAAGCTAACTAGAAAGCCAAGGGATAATGAGGCAAGAAGGGATTCGATTCTACACACTGCATTTCACCCTCCTTAGAAAGCAGAGGCCTGAGACGGAGACATCACCTGCCACTGTGGTGCCTTCCCTGAGGCTGCCCGTCCCTTGTATCCCAGCCCTGCCCCTTCCCCTGTGCCTTCTCTCATCCTGGGTAACATGGCCCGAACAAGCTGTGCTCTCCATTTAGCTGGTGGGGTTCTTTGTCCTGCAGAGCTGTCCCATGCCTGCTGTGCTGTGGACACAGCTAGAGATGGCTTCCTGATGACTGTGGGTGTGGGAGCCGGGAAATTCTGATTAGCACAAAGCAAGGTCTGTTGCATGGAATTTTCAGCCTTAAATTTGCACCCCATATGGAAGCAGAGGGCTAAGGGATCCACTCACAGCCGCGCAGAGGGCTGGGTCTCACCAGCTCCACCACATCCTGTGAAAGGGGGACATCCTGTGAAACATGCTCTTTGCAAATTTAAAGACAAACCAGGAGAAATTAAAGCACAGAAGAATTAAGTCTGTAACTGTATTGTATTTCCAGTGTAGGTTTCAGATGCTAATTCTACACATCCATGATACCTTATAAAAATGAGAGTTAACCTTATCTACATTTAGACAGAATGCAAGAGGGTGTATCTCAGCAATACATTTCTCACATGCATTTTTAAGAGGGATAGGAATGCATGAGACAAGAGAGGAAATCAATTTCTCCTGGATTTAAGAAACTGACTGCTGTTTCCTATTTACATGAATACAGCAAAAGATGAAGAACTTGAAAATCATATTTTATGATATTAGCAAGTTAACTACCAAGCAAGACATCTGAGTAACTACTGGAAACCTAGCATATCAGAAACTTAGGTAACAACCCAGGGACATTTGAAGAGGTGGGCCAAAAGCTCTATCCTTTCCAGCAGAAATGAAACCATTTTTGTGGTCTTTCACTTGCACACAGGGATGACAGGAGGAAAAGCTGATCAGCTGCCCAGGGAGCCTCCCGTCTCCTTACGACTGTTCCTTTGAGAAGGTGTTATAAGCAAAGGCCCCCGCTGATGAGAACGCCCCTCATACATGAAGTCACATGATGCTTGCGTCCAGACTCTCCCTACAACCCTGTTGCAAAGAACTGCATTCCAAATGGGTCCC